CCCTCTCCTACCCGCGCTTGTCAGCTCACCCTTTTCTGTACACACATGCACCCCTCCCCACCCGCGATAGCGGTGGTTTTTAGCCGGTGTTTCCCAAATCGCCAGGCTTTGGGGCTTTCAGAACCCTTCAGGCTCTCGCCCCAGGACGCCAAGGCCGGTGACCTGGCTGATGACGTACCCCTGAGGTAAGAGTGATCCCCCCCACCACCTTCTCCCGGCCCTCAGGTGGGCATGTCCGAGCCGCAGCCGAAACGGGGGAGACGTGGCCGAAGCAACGGCAAACGATGGTTCAGGCGGAGCACTGTAATAGGGGACTCGTTCGGAAGCGCAAGCGTTGACCCTCCTCGGCTGGCGGTGCTGGCATGAAAAAACAGCCGTAAAACTCCACTGTTACTCGTCAGACGAGGGAGCCTGCTCATCCTCCGCCAGTCGTTGCCCTGATAAAAGACTATCCTTCCAGGCATTCACTGCCGTCCCCTCCCACCCTCCTGCCTTGCATTCGGAGCTTGCCCACCTAAAGGAGAAAAGCATGAACCTGAAGCCGATTTCTTGAGTTTTCTCTATTAAAGATGCAAGAATGGACTCTTAAGGATGCCTCTCACGGGGCTGCCGGAACGGAACCTTCTGTTACTCCAGGATATTTGAGATTTCTGCTGGCTTTCTTCATTTATAAGTGAAGCTACACATGCTAGTATATATGACAGAAGTACGTGTGCAGAGCTAGCTAAAACACAACTGTAGTTAGTTATTTCCTGGAGTTATAGTTGCCTCTGAAAAGACACCTTTTTCTTTAGTGTCTTGAAAAGTGAGGCTTCCAAATGCCGATTTCTACTGGGACAAGAAAAAAGTCATAGTAGTTTGATTTTTGTAGTGTTTGTCTTTGCTTAGAGCTTTGTCTCTGCTTTGAGGAGTGTAGTAACAAGTCCAACTAGCAATAAGCAAGTGCTATTCACACTGAACTGGAGGTAAAAAAAAGCTTAATATGATACATGTTTTTAATTCTAAATATTTCAAGGAGGAGGAGAGACATGGTTCAGGAGACTTCTTTTATAAATATTAGAAAATATTTAGAAATAATTGGGGCATTTTCAAAGCAAAAAAAAAAAAAAAATTGTCCCCTCGCTTTTAAAAATACAGGAAAGAGATCTGGGACATAGGACCTTTCCATCCGTTACATTCTCTGCCAGTTGTATTTCATACCTTTGTACTGATGATTCAGTCCTCCAATCTGTTTCTTTATCAACACAGTATTTCCAAAGTGTTAACAAGAAGAAATTTCATGATCCTTACAGCCCACATATCACAAAGAATACTAAAGTTCACTACATCATTAAGATCAATATATTCCACGTGTAGATAAGAGCTGAACTATTGTTACTGTAACAATTAAGCATATAACCTGAAAAAGATCATTTTGCTTTGTTCCATTTTTGAAATTAGGACTCCCTAGATGAAAAAAAAAGCCATAAAATGTATGATTTGTTGAGGTTTTGTATGCTGAAATTGTTTTCTGTTAGGTGAGACATGCTCAATGTTTGCTATAACAGCATTTTATTAACATCTGAAATACTTAGATACAGGATGTTTAATTTAGTTAGTAAAAAGTCAACACTTTTCCAATTCAATACTTCAATTCTTCTTGGGTTTTTTCTTGTTTTTTGGTATAATATGGAAACTATTTTTATTAATTTTCTAAGAGAGCTGTGTTCAAAATTAAATGCAATGTGCTTTAGAGAATATTTTTGTTTGTGGGCAAAAAACCATCAAAGACTAGAAAATATTATCACTCATTTAAGGAGCCATTCTCGCAGTGTCTAGCTGTGTTTTACAACACAATCAAATGTCATCCTTCCTAAACCACTCTATAATTTCTAAAATATGCTTTCTTCAATGAAATTAAGGGAATTGACAACAGCAGGT